TCTATCTATCTATCTATCTATCTATCTATCTATCTATCTATCTATCTATCTATCTATCTATCTATAATAAACATAACCACTAAAATATGAAATATCTATTGATATTCTGTCATCACATGTATAACACATCTGGTTTTATTAATGTAAACACACATACATTTGCTTTTCTTAACAATGTAATTAGGCAAAAATGAATGCAATATAATAATTAGCACATGTTTACCTTCTGAGTGTCTGAATCTCCTGGTTAAACTGCTTTCTGAGGTCTTCATATGAACTGCCGTCCAACTACAACATCAGATGTCCAAAATCAATGACCATCAAGTGCGACAGATGCTTTATAACACTTATACTGACTGTATATTAAAAACTTTAAAGGATTTAAGCTGCTGATGAGTGTTAAGCACACCAGAACAGTCTTGTGGAAAGAGTCCAGTGGCAGTGTGCAGATTTGTTTATGTTTAAAAGTGAACAGGTAAAGCCTCACAGGATTGAGTTTCTTGACCGCCACATGTTTATCCCCCATGCGTCCTCTGAACACCACTCCGAACCCTCCAGAGCCCAGCCGGCAGCCCCCATCCGAAAGTGGCCTCTCGTCCCAGTGCTGCGTCATCGCCGTCAGCTCATGGAGACTGAAGGTGTGGAAGCCTGATGGAGACAGGGGGCTGATGGGAGTTGTTCGGTATACAAGAACGCGCTTTCTTCTGACATTACGGCAGGCCACATGGCTCACAATTAATTATAAAACTTGCATATCCAGTGCGTAGTTGCGAGCCTAACAGTATGTAAAGCGGGTGGGATGTGTTGTAATGTCACTTTATTTCGATTTCATTTGAATCATCGGAGGTCGAAATTGAATTTTGCTTAACTGCACAGCAAATCAATGGCACTTTAACAGAAAACAAATCAATGAATAGGCATAAAGACCTTGGCTGGAGTCCCAGCTGCTCTCCTGTGCTCCAGAGCTGCTGTCCGGCTCCACAAACAGCTCCTGCTCCTGGACGGGTTTATTACTGTCATCCTCCACAGGTTTAGAGATTTTTTGGGGTTTATTACTGTTGTCCTCTACAGTTTGGGTGATTTCGCATGCCTGCAGACACACTGCAGACGCGGGAGCCGCTTCCTCACACCACACTGAGCCTGCATTCAACACACAGCATCACACACGAGATATATCCAGCTGCAGGCCCGCAGAACCACACACGTTTTAGGCACACACAATCTAGGACACACTATCTAGGCAAACCATATATGGTACCGACGGATGTTATGTTATTAACATCTTTTTGAACATCGTCATCGATATATTTTGATATATATGATTAATAAATATTGTACACGATAAACAATAGTGTTTACTTTATTTTATTTCACAAATATTGCGATCGAGACGGCTGAATGGGAAGCATTGTTTCCAATCGCTATTCAATATAATAGACAGAACAGTTTTTAATCAGTCATTATAGCTGATCACTCATTATTATCTGACAATAATATGTCAGATACTCATTTGCTGACCTTGCTGAACGATGTAATTTGGACAGGCTTAATTTATATAATGGATTAATTTATGATGAGGAAATAATAGCAAGTTAATATAAGCAATAATACATTATATGTAATAAAAATATTTTTAAGTGTAACAAATGTATAACACTATATTAATAATTACTCAAGCTATTTAATAGTGTTTATAAACTAATATATTAGCTTAATTTTCTAATAACCTTTTAATTAATGATTTCCCACATTTGATACTGTAGTAATTTATAGTAAGCAATAAATTGTTTTTAAACCAAAATTTAGCAATAGCAACAAATTAACTATTAATAATAAAAAAATCATAAGCAAATATATATAACAGCTGTGACAGTTTAGTAAAAGATAGTAGTTTATGTATAAACTTATAATTATAATGAGTTTAGATAATCAGTTTAAAACTATATATATATATATATATATATATTGCTTTAATGATTAACTAGTAGGATAATTTATTTTAAAGTGACATATTATTGTTTGCTTTTTATATTTTACAACAAAGTGATTTTAACCATGTATGATTATATTAAGATCCTGAATTAGTTTATTACACTTAATCCAACAATTAGACGGTCTATTATGTTTTCTTTGTGTATGTGGACACATGAATAAAGTCAGAAGTGTAATTAACCAATTATTTTTATTTACATAATTTGAGTTCAGAAACTGCAGAGATGTTAAAATGATCGTTACGATATAATAATAATAATAATAATAATGACTGAAATGGGAAACCAGATTTGTGAAATTCAGTAGGTGGCGATAATGCTGAAGATTTAGTTACCATATATGGTTTGCCTAGATTGTGTGTCCTAGATTGTGTGTGCCTAAAGCGTGTGTGGTTCTGCGGGCCTGCAGCTGGATATTATTGTCACACACAGCAGACCCCAAGATCCAGATTACAGTTAAGGGGTGATTGTATGTTGAAGAGTCTTCAGGGACCCGTTTCAGAAAGGGGGTTAAGTGAAAACTCAGGAGTATGATAACCCTGAAACGAGACAAACTCTGGGTTTTACCTGTGTATACCTGTTACCTGTGTGAGTGTGGCAGACGCTGTGATCGGGCAGCAGGACTGTGACGGCGGCGAACAGCTGATGGCGGATCAGGATCTCCACCAGATCTCCAACAGTGCAGTCTGAGGTTCCCCAGTCGAACAGCAGCTCCATGGTGGGACTCTTTCCCTGCAGGACGCATGCTTCAAACCGCCTGCAAACACACACACATGGAACTGTAAACTCACACACACACACACACACACACACACACACACACACACACACACACACACACACGCACAGGAGGACTGCAAACAGAGCAGCCGTACAAAACCGCAATTGTAAACAGCAAAAATAAATCTGGAAAAAGTGAGCGAGTGTTATGTGTGTGTGTATCTTGTGTCTATTTTGTGTCTGAGTGTGTGTGTGTGTGTGTGTTGTCTGTGAGTGAGTGTTGTGCGTGTGTATGCAAGTTGTCTGTGAGTGAAGGTTGGTTTTGATGTCTGTGTGTCTCTCTTTCATGTTGAGTGTGTGTGCGTGTGATGTTGTATGTGTGTGTGTGTGTGTGTATGTGTGGATGTTAAACTGTGCGTGTGGATATCAGTCTATGTGTGTGTGTGGATGTCAGTCTGTCTGCTGATGTGAGTCTGTGTGTGATTGTGGATGTCAGTCTGTGTGTTGACATCTGTGCATATATGTGTGTGTGTGTGTGTGTGGTTGTCAGTCTGTTTGTCTGCTGATGTCGGTCTGTGTGTGTGTGTGTGTGTGATGAATATCTGTCTGTGTGTTGTCAGTCTCTGTGTCTGTCAGTCTGTGTTTTGAAGTCTGTGTGTGTGTGTGTGTGTGTGTGTGTGTATGTCTGTCTGTGTCTGCTGATGTCGGTCTGTGTGTTGATGTGTGTGTGTGTGTGTGTGTGTGTGTGTGTGTGTGGATGAATATCTGTCTGTGTGTTGTCAGTCTCTGTGTCTGTCAGTCTGCTGATGTGTATGTGTGTGTGTTGATGTCCGTCTGTCTCTATGTGTGTGTGATGATGTTTGTCTGTCTGCCTGCGTGTAAGAGAAGAGTGTATGTGTGTTTCTGTATACTATTGATGTCTGTCAGTCTGTCTCTTGTTTATGAGGTTGTTTGGTGTGTGTTTGTACCTCATGTGCATCTGTGTGTATCTGGGTTCCCCGCAGGGTCTGCTGATGTCCGCCATGATGCTCCTCCAGGTGTCCTGCGGGTCCAGCAGGTCTGCTAAAGCTCTTAGCGCGGAGTACCGGAGCTTTCGAACCGGTGTGTTCGGCGTGACGTCACTCATGCCAGCCCGTTACCGCTGACTGTCCGTCATAAAAACCCTCAGAGCTCCAGAAGACTCGTGTTTTCCGAGATTGAGAAACTTCCTTCGTCTGTTGTCATTTCCCCCTCTCACAACATCCGCCTCAGACTGAAACTACACGGTGGTGTGACGTCATAAAAAGTGTAAACAGATATGTCCACACGTCATCGCTCACAAAACGCAAGTTTTATGCAGAAAATGTGATTTATTTATATTAAAAATTATGAGGCGAAGCAGCTATTTCTGAAGAGGACGCTGACAGTTTGGCTGAAACTCGACCGTGATTGGTTCAAAGTAACACGTCACGTGATAGTTATTTCTTAATCCAAAAAATAATAGAAATGTACATATTTATTAATATTTGCTTCTCTTTCTTCTCAATATATATATTACTTTGTGTCTTTTATTATTATTATTATTATTATTATTATTATTATTATTATTATTATTAATATCAATATTATTATAAAAAATGTTTCACAGTACAGATTGACAAGCAGCGTGACCAATCACAGCTCGCTATTTCTGTGTGTTTAAAGAAGGCGGGAAAATGAAATCAATCAAACATAACAATCGTTTAAACTCGTTTAAAAGTTAGAAATATGTGGAAATATGCGAAGATTCTGCATTCAGATTTAATAAAATTTAAAAATGTAGTGCGTGTGGATTATTTAAACCGTATAACTCTTCAAATGATGAATCTGACGTTAAATGATTTGCTGGTGTGTGTGCGTGTGTGTGCGTGCGTGCGTGCGTGTGTGTGTGTGTGTGGCGTTCACTCGTCGTCGTCGATCAAAATGTGGATATAATTCATCTAACTGGTAAGATTCATGTTTGGCCGCCGTGCCCAAATTATATTCACTTTTAAAATGTAATTTATTTTCTTAATTTAGCATTAACAGTCCTGTATTATAAACAAAATCGATTAACATTCATCAATCGGACATGTTGTGTATAGTCTCTATAGAGAACATGGCCCTGACACAGCAGAGGTGGGATCGTAATGTTATGTACAAATATATAATAATACTAAATGTTTTCTTGTGATTTGTTTTGACATCATGTGTGCAAAATATTTATACTGAGGCTGTTTATAATGTAACGTTTATATGTGGCCGCTGGGCGTCAATAGAGATCAAGAATAGAATTGAGTCTTTCAGCAAAACTGCTGTTCAGAAATGTGCAATCAGTGCAGTTTGACGGACTAAAACAGATCATTTTCTTTCCTTTGCCCTGTTATTTGATTTAGGAAAAGGTTTTAATCCTAGTTTTCTTTTGAAATCTTGTAAAAATCCACAGCAAGATCAAGATTAATGTGCAGTTTCTTTCTTTCTTTCTTTCTTTCTTTCTTTCTTTCTTTCTTTCTTTCTTTCTTTCTTTCTTTCTCTCTTTCTTTCTAATTATTTATTTTTCTTATTTCTTTCATCTTTTCTTTCTTTCTCTCTTGAAAATGTTTTTGTTTTTAATGAGTCTTTTTCAATTATGTGTGTGTGTGTGTGTGTGTGTATATGTATGTATGTATGTATGTATATATATATATATATATATATATATATATATATATATATATATTCATTTCATTCATTTTCTTGTCGGCTTAGTCCCTTTTTTAATCCGCGGTTGCCACAGAGGAATGAACCGCCAACTTATCCAGCAAGTTTTTTTAAGCAGTGGATGCCCTTCCAGCCGCAACCCATCTCTGGGAAACATCCACACACACATTTTAACACTACGGACAATTTAGCCTACCCAATTCACCTGTACCGGAGGAAACCCACGCGAATACAGGGAGAACACGCAAACTCCACACAGAAACGCCAACTAAACCGAGGTTCGAACCAGCGACCTTCCTGCTGTGAGGCGACAGCAGACAGCACTACCTACTGTGGCACTGCCTCGCCCCATATATATATATATATATATATATATATATATATATATATATATATATATATTAGGCAAGGCAAGGCAAGTTTATTTATATAGCACATTTCATACACAGTGGCAATTCAAAGTGCTTTACATAAACAAGAATAAAAGAGACAATTGTAAGAAAATGAAAAGAAATAATAAAAATAAAAAATATAAAAATAAGAATAAAAAATAGATAAAACAGGTAAAAATGTGTTTAAATGGTATAAGATAACAAAAAAGAAGAAAAAAATATATATGTATTTATGTATGTATGTATGTATATATGTATATCTAAATAAGAAATTATTAATAATCTAATTATCATTTAACAATAGAGTGTTATTTAATAATAAAAATTTTCATAAAAATTATACGTAGCTGTAAAACACTTTACACTGAAGATGCTCTGGAAAGTCTTTGTGTTCATTCTAAACCCGTCTGAGTGAATGAAACGGACTCTAAAATGCCAGCAAGTTGTATTTTTCTCCTCCTAAAGGTTACACGTTGATTACTCTCAGATAATCTTCAGCCTGCGTGCCAGAAATCCCCCACTTTCGTCGAGAAAACAGGATGTGAACCCCAATCCTGACCTGCTTCAAGTGTCACATATAATTACGATAATGTTTGCTCCCATTTACCCCGGACACCTGGGCCCCGGAGCATTATGGGATGGTTTATATACACATCTGTCTGTGTGTGTAATGTAGATTAATGTACACTCCAGCAGAGGGGCCGGTTTATATGTTTAAACAAATAATTACACGAGCGCATCTGTGCTGGAGAGTTTCTGGATTAATCATGCTCGCTGTGTGTGAAGTGCTCCAGGTGCGGCTGTGATGTCATTTCCTGTCTGACGGGGTGAAGCTGAACACCTGGAATGGGTTTAGTTGATGTTTTTAGGGGTTGAAGTATGAGAGCAGAGTCACTAATGGGATTTTTTAATGCAATATGATGTTTTTTATGTTAATTTTAGTGTTCAGAGTGCTGCAGTTCCTTTACTAGCCTATAGAGGGCAGCAGCTCACCTTAGATGGAAACACTTTGAAGTCTGTGCTTGATTAATTAAGCTCTTCTATTAATTAGGTTGGTGTTGTTTCTTTTTAATGGAGTAGCACAGGGGTTCCCAAACTTTTCAGCCCACGACCCCTAAAATAACAATGCCAGTGACTCATGGTTCCTAATATTCTCTGAGGTGCTTATAAACCGTGCACACAACCTTGCACACATACCAAAAGGCCCAAGTTTGTTCATCGCTTAATGTTGGAGAACGCTACTCGGAGACCATTCTCCATGTTTAGTTGTGGCCTGTATTTATTTGTAATGTATGTAAGTGCTGTAAAGGTGTCAGAGAGCTTAACCTGGTGCCACAAAAAAAAAAAAAAGTTGAACGGCTATATATACATACACATATATACAGCCTTACAGTTTCTAGATCTGGGGGATTTGGCCTAAAATCAAAATCTCAATTAACTGGACAGCTTAACTTGATTACGATTAATGAATGATTATTTTATGTATTTGCCCTCATTGATCACTGATAAGTATTGTACAGTAAACATGCTCACATATTACAAGTGAGAGAATTTTACCTATTTTTTAATTTTTTTTTATTTTTTCACCTTTATTGACAGGACAGTGGAGATTACAGACAGGAAAGTGTGGGGAGCGGAGATAGGGGAAGGACCTAGAGCCAGGAATTGAACTCGGGTCGCCGGGTGCTATGTGTCGACGCGCTAACCACTAGACTATTGGCGCTGACTCATTACTTGATTTTAAAATAAGTGAAGGAAACACACACTGTCTACTATCCAGGATTATTTATTCATCATCAACACTGAACAACTCGAAAAACACACATTGCCTTAAACCAACAGTCTTTTTTTCTTATGAAAAAGGTTTAAATACGCAACTTTCACATTTGAAAAAAAAAATAATTATTTTCAACATTTTTCATAATAAAAGTAGAAAATAAGCGTATCTCTACTAAATAAAATATATATAAAATGTATATTCTTTAAATAATAGTTTAACTATGTTAATCTCTGCTTAGGCGCCGTTTTCCTCTGTTCGTGCACAAAACTTCTTGCGCGCCCTCAGATATACGCTGCTCAAGTGCAGATTTTCTTGTGCGCCCTCAAATATACCAGCTCAAGTGCAGATTTTCTTGTGCGCCCTCAAATATACACTGCTCAAGTGCAGATTTTCTTGTGCGCCCTCAAATATACACTGCTCAAGTGCAGATTTTCTTGTGCGCCCTCAAATATACCAGCTCAAGTGCAGATTTTCTTGTGCGCCCTCAAATATACGCTGCTCAAGTGCAGATTTTCTTGTGCGCCCTCAAATATACACTGCTCAAGTGCAGATTTTCTTGTGCGCCCTCAAATATACACTGCTCAAGTGCAGATTTTCTTGCGCGCCCTCAAATATACACTGCTCAAGTGCAGATTTTCTTGCGCGCCCTCAAATATACACTGCTCAGGTGCAGATTTTCTTGTGCGCCCTCAAATATACACTGCTGAAGTGCAGATTTTCTTGTGCGCCCTCAAATATACGCTGCTGAAGTGCAGATTTTCTTGTGCGCCCTCAAATATACGCTGCTCAAGTGCAGATTTTCTTGTGCGCCCTCAAATATACGCTGCTCAAGTGCAGATTTTCTTGTGCGCCCTCAAATATACACTGCTCAAGTGCAGATTTTCTTGTGCGCCAGACTTTACCTGTGCGTTTGAAGCGCAGAAGTATAAATCAGTCTTAACAGAGCGAGCTCGCATGACTCCACATGCGCTAGGGAAAGTACGTGGAAAAATGTGATCGAATTTTCAGGGTCTGAATGTCGATTACTTTAATCGATTACTTTTTGATTAATTGCCCAGCCCTAGTTTCCAGAGCATTGCTATGCAGTGGGTGGTGGTTGCTAAAATGAAATAAAATTATTTTAACTTAGTTTATTTATAATCTGTATGTTTTATTTGTTTATTGTAGTGTTAACTGCATTGCTGTGCGTTATTTTGTGTGGTTGCCAGGGCTGTGGGGTTTCCTGTGTCTGTAAGTTTTTACTTTTTTCTTTATTTTTGGAGTTTTCAGGCTAATTATGATCAAGCTAGTGTCCAGCTAGCGTATCAACATGCTTTTAAGGGCTTTGTCAGCATTTGCAGTAACATGTGATCTTAATACCGCCGTGTTAGCGAACACCGGCTCTATACGTTTCCTGTTGCTCTGAACTTTGACCCTGACATTTCAGAGTCCCGCTGGGGGTTCATTTGATAAGAACAATGTAAGAGAGAGAAGGTCAGCGTGGAGGGAACCGTATTACCAGCTTAATGCATATATACCTTGAAAGGCTGATCTGAAGTCAGGGCTAAAGGGCAGCTGCTTTCTTCTCTCCGTCAGAGAAGCTGATCAGGGCTTAACTGTGGGAATCGGAGAGAAACACTGAACCACTGACCTCTGATCAGGCCTCAGCACAGGCCGATCACTAGCTGTGTTTCCATCCATAGATGCAAATTAGATTTGTGGGCAAAACTGGAATATCGCATAAAACATTCACGAATAAAGCAGCGTTTCTGACTCAAAGGGTGCGTCTCAAATCACATACTTATGCACTAGTCTACACTATTTTGCCGTATGAATAGTATAAGTAGTACATCATTCAATTTCCTTCAGCTTAGTCCCTTTATTTATCAGGGGTCACCACGGCGGTATGAACCACCAACTTATCCAGCATGTTTTACACGGCGGATGTCCTTCCAGCTGCAACCCATCACAGGGAAACATCCACACACACTCATTCACACACACACACACAATACTGAAAGTTAAGTGTACCGATTCCCCTATAGCGCATGTGTTTGGACTGTGGGGGAAACCCACACGCTACACGGGGAGAGCATGTACTCCTAATTAACATCTTCAGATTAATTCAGTGTCAGTCATTCAGCGTTTAAGCCACAGCACTAATTAGCCGCCGGTCATTAGTGCGAGATTTGTCCGAGGCGTTTGAGGAGTGTGTTATCTGCTTTTCTGCATCAGTGCCTTCATTTACCAGCAAACACAAGAAACAAGGAGCTTTAGGAGTGCAAATGAGGAAGATTTACTGCTCCGGCTGCTCCAGCGCTGTGAGAAACACACATGCAGTTATCTTGCAGAGTGCATTTCAGCACAGAGCGGTGAAAGAGTTAAACAGGGTTTAGTTGATGAACAGTAAATGAGCAGAGGCCCAGAGCAGAGCTGCGGTGCACCTCCTTATGTGAAGAACAACCACAGCTCCCATATCTGGACATTTATAAACACTTGCTGAATGATCTGTGTGTGTGTGTGTGTGTGTGTGTGTGTGTGTGTGTGTGTGTGTGTTTTCTGTTTGTGTTGACAACATTAATAACGTCACTGTAAGCAGAAAGCAGGAGTTT